TCTCCCACCTCTACATCCTATATTTGCCTATTATTTCACCTGTATGCACATGGTCATAATTGCTGGCCCTAGGTTTCCAAGTCATGTCTCTCCTAGTAGTTTGACAACTGGTTAGCTATTCCTAGCTGTCAAGGAGGACCTCAAGTATGTGCCCCAAACTGGACTCTTATCTTCCCTCTGCCTATGCCCAATCTCAAACCTACTTCTATACACATCAGTGGCATTAATCTCAAACTTCAATGTCAATGCAATCATTTACTCTTCTTCACAGCCCAATCTCAAGACCTACTGATTCATCCTCAAACTTCTTGCAGTTATCCTGCCTTCCCAGTTTGCCGGTAGTTTTCTGTTTTGTTGCCTGAAGAGACCCCTGGTTCCACTGTGCCTCTAAGCCTTCCTCATTGCAGAGATCAAGAGTTTCCTGTGCTGTCTACATCCAGCCCAGGTTCCTGAAAGAGCAGTCAATAAATGTTAACTCAGTGTTCTCCATTTATTTCAATACTCTGCATTGCACATGCCTTGACCTTCAAAGCCTTTGCTATTAAAGTCTTTTGGGACCTGTATCTTTTATACATCCCCAAGCCAGCGTCCCCATTTGCACTTTCTACTCCAGTAATTACCTACTGAACACCCTCTTTCCCTGAAAGTAAGACCTAGCTGGAAAATAGCCTTGAGAACTAGAGATCAAAAATGCCAGCGCCCCCCTGTAAAAAAATGTCAGCCCCGTTCAGCCTATCCTTGCCTTACCTGCTGTGAGAGTAGCCATGGGGGCAAGAGAACAGTGATGGCAGGTGAGGCATGGTTAGGCTGAGTGGAGCCGGCAATTCTGACCTCTAATTTCCAAGGCTGACTGCTTTCCAGTTAGGGTCTTACTCTGCAGGAAACACGGTAAGTCCCCAGGACTCTGCCTTTGCACATGCTTTTTCTTCTGAAATTGTCCTCTCCTCTACCGGAACACTCTACCCCTTCAAGAGTCATAGGCTTTTGCTGTTCTTCCATCCTTTCCTTTCCCTTATCCCCACGAAGTTCTCCGTGAACAGTATTGTTTTCCTAACTCAGCTGAAGTACTTATACATGATATAATGCATACACTGGCTCGTACAGCTGCCCCAGGGGCCAAAACCGTACCCTCTTCCATTTCCAGTAAATTCCTCCCTCGAGTCACCTGCTATCCCTAACCTAAGGTCAGGCTTCTTCATCCCTGACCCAGCCGCCAGCTCAGTCCTCTTCTTCATCCTAACTTCTGCCCTCACGTGCAGGTGTCAGTAACCACACAGATGGTTCACACAACACCCCAGAATGAGCCAGAGTTCCCACATTCCCCTTTATCCACGGCTGCAGTTAACATCACTGCCCAGAGCTATTTAACCTCTGAAGTCCTAATTTTCACCTCAAACTTAGTCTATCCATTGCACATCGCACCCCTTTCCAATCCCACCACTCTCCATCCATCCCACTTACCAGTGCCTACCACTGATTCTCCAAATCCCAGGGCCAATCTGTAATGACCCTGCTTGTAATCATGCCTGCCTTTCAAAGTTAGACCCTAATAAGATTCACTTTTTCCTGTATGTTTTTGGCAGATGAGCAATGCTGAAGAAAAATCACAACTTGGGTCCCAATACTGAAATTCATAAGTTTCCTAACTCGAGTGTGTTGTCAAAAGCATTCCCAAATCTCTACCTGGCCAGGTTCAGGTTCATCAATCTTCCTGGTGGTCAATACTAACAAATACGAGACACGACCTATGGTGAACTGACTGAGGCAGTGTGTTGGGTCTGAGAAAGCAAAAAGGTTTAAACATGGTAAACAGTGCTACCTTCTCAATTCTTGAGAGGAGAAATGTAGACCATAAGTAAAAGTGGCAGTTTTCAAAATCCCTTCATGTCCAAAGTACCCTTCATACTTATCCTTTAGCAATGAGAGACATAAACAACTTGTTTGTTTTCATTTTAATTTATTCTGTGCCATGAAAGTTAAAACATACAAACCACAGCTTTAGATATAGTACTGACCAATTTGAAAAACATTGAAATGATCATTTGCACACATTCCTCATCTTTAATTTTACATCTTGTTATACAAAAGGACTGTTAACACACAGCCCTAATTCCTTACAAACCTATTTGTCAAGCAGCAAGATGACACTGCATCATAGCGCAGCACAGAATGTTTCCTTTAAGAAACCACTTCAGCAGTATTTGGTAAATGGTTATGCATAGAACTGAGCTAGAAGGTAATGTTAAACATTCCTTGTAAAACAGTACACAACAAATGGGAAATGTAACTTTAATATAAGATAAAATGTTATTCTTTATGCTTTAAAACTCTGGGACACCTTAAAACCAGAAAATACAAAGTGCTTTAATTCTAGATCCCATAACTGAACACTATCCTATTAGTTGCCTGAGAGACTATAAACTTTGAGGACTGCTCATTGGCTTTTTAAAGTCAACATCAAATATAAAAGCACTTAGTTTACCAGGCAAAATCTAGTTAAATGATTACATGTTACATAAAATATACCTTTTAAGAAAAACTGACTTTAAAAAAGATTGCATCAATGATGTATATATAACTTCAAAAATCGTTACTGTTAAGAGGAAAAATGCACTACTTTAAAATCTTTCAACATGTTTTAAGAGGTCATATTTTGTGAATTCATTACTTTACACGTTCTAATCTTTCAGCAAAATAATCTGAAATGATTTTCAAACTTAGTAACATCTAAAGAAATGGGTTAACATGCCTGTGAAGTGACTGTCTACAAGATATTTATTTCCACTATGCACATCCATTAAGAGAGTTCTACATTTAATTTGATGTAAATATTCCCAAACTCATTTAAACGTGCTATACAAATATTTAGTGTTTTTGGCATTAAAATATGAATAGTGATACCATACAGGCAATTTTCACAAAAAGTTTTGGAGGCAAAGATTTGGGAGTGGTTGGATGAGAAAGAAATGAGACGATCTATATGAGTCCTCAATTTTAGAATTAATCCTCAAAAAGATGGCCTATTTGATCATCACCATTTTTGGGAAGAGTTCAGGCAAGATTCTAATATTTATGACTTTAATGCTCATAACTTTTTAAATGTTAATATCAACCACAGGCTAGTCCAATTTCCACTGAGACTGAATATGCTACTACAATATCATTCTGGTAAGTTCAACTACGAAACACTAAAACAGGAAAAACGGATGGAAAAATCATATCACATAACATAACTAAGTCTGCATTAAGTACTTCTCTTCCCTCTCATATTAGCCTTAGACATACACACTATAGGAGGTCAGGTGCATAAAAAGAAAAAGGCTTAAATAAAGGATTTGTCTATAGACTATTCATACTGGTATCAGTCATTTGTTTTTATTCTCCCTAAGGAGTATGAGCTATTAATATGTTTTTAGGTATATATTTCAAGTAAGTTAAGGAGAACATTTCTTAAAATTCTATAAAACAAGACATGCCTGAAGCATAAATAAATAATGCCCAACATCTATAGCTTTACATGAATTAACTTTGTATCAATTTGGGCACAACTATAGATTTGAGGGAAGAAGGTTACATCAGCCATCATTCTGTAATACTGACATAATAGGAAGCTCTACAGTTAAAGTTTTCCAGCAACAATTATTATCTACAACTTGGACATCCACCATAAAACAAAATCCAGAGCTCAAAACATCAGGCTGAAAAATCTAACTTAAATATCCTCTCAGTCCCACGATGCTGTTGAGCATTTTCATCTGATAACTATTTGAGCGTGCTATTTAGCACTAGCAAAACATGAAACATTAAAATTAATGCTCGTCAGTCACATTACAACTAGTACAGAAAAGAAGACAGAATGATTGCGCCCCACTCTCAGCTGCTGGGAATCTTCCCCCAGCAACTGTATAAAAACCACAGTTATGCTCTGTGAATTCCCTTCTGGTACAATATCAGCAAAGAGGTTTCCATGAGGAATACAACTTGGGGAGGAGCCAGTGAGCTGTTAATAAACGAAACTGTCAGCAAGAAGAATGAGGTATCAAACATTTAAATACCACCATAAAACAGAGGGGATGACTACCTCTTGAGAAAAAAGGCTAAAAACATAAAAAGAACACAGATTCATAAAATAAGTTGGCTTTGCATTTCATTGTTGTACAATTCCTATCTCTTTCACACTAATGCTCCGTCCAAAGTTCAGTTAAGACAAACATGGAAACCTGGCAAGAGTCACTTTACAGTTACACAGGTAGTTTCAGCCATACTTTTTCTTTTTTTTTTTTTTTTTTTTTTTCTGGTATCAGGAATCAAACTCACAACCTTGCGCGCTTGCCGGGCAGGCGCTGTGCTGCTGAGCTAAATCCCCAGCCCACAAACTTATTTTTTTGTTTTTTTTGCCAGTACCAGGAATCGAATTCACGACCTTGCACTTGCCAGGCAGGTGCTGTGTCGCTGAGCTAAATCCCTAGCCCCACACTTTTTCAACACCCAGTACCTTTGAGGTGTTGTCACTGAATTGTCTGTGGAGAAGTATTTTCTCCACAACACAGGCCTTGAGCATAAAATCCTCCTATAAAAGGGAATGACTAGTCCTAGTCTTCCTGAAATAGAAGATGGTTCTTAACATTCCTAAGATACTACTCTAGATCTTTGAATAGGTTAACCAAAAAACCATTTCATAAAAGATAACAATTTTAATATTGTAAGTCAGAATTAAGTCCCCATTAAATAAATGCTATCTTGAAAAGAAAAACAAATTTACAACTACCATTATCTAAGATACCATACGCATCACTAAGAAAAACCACTGTCCATTACACTATGACACAATGCGTCTCTCAGAAAATGCTTATTTTATATTTATTATAACAGTGCTTTTAAACAGATGTCTTTATCACATCAATTTTGGGTATACATTGAAAATGTGTGAAATAAACTGGTTACGTTATAACTGTAACTTCCCATTCCAAGTCCAACTCTGCTGACCCACTGGCGTCTACATTTCCCTACACAACACAGCCCTGGGTATCGTCAAGAGTACTGGTGAGGATGGAGCGCTTCTTCAAAGAGCGCACCTCAGCTGCCTTCTGCTTTTGGGAAGCTTCTGGAAAACGATGTTTGATGTCTTAACCGATAGTCCTGCTAGATGCATAAATCGGTCACAATAGCCTCTTGTTGCTCTGAATTTTCTGTCATCAATTGGAAAAGTTTTGGCAATTTCTCCTGGCACGTGACAGGCAATTTTTTTGCATGCACCTCTCTGATAAAGTGTAGAACAGCTTCATCTACTTGTGGGTATCTTCCCTTCTTGGGTCTTGTAAAGTATTTTGCAGATGCTTTGCAAGAAAATATGGAATTTCAATCACTCCTCCAATGATGAATATTTGCTTCACTCACATCAAATGAATGCCCCCACGACTTTGTTTCCATGCTTTTCTGCATATATGATAACCTTTCGTTTCAACGCTGAGTCACAGTATAATCTTTCTGAAGACATCTTAACACGCTCATTAAACCTGACACATCTGATGCCAACACACTTCAGTTAAAGTGATGACAGTACAAAAGCTGTAAATTCACACATGCACAAGCTAGGATAATCACACGACTATCACCTGGCTGACAGTAATGAGGTGCACCCCAACTTCACAGGTTATAATGTGAAGAAAAGAGTACATTTTATGACCAAAACAATTAAGTTTTTTGAAGCCTGAAAATTTTGCCACATTCACAGCAGTGCAAAAAAATGCCCAAGAGCCAAAGACCAAGTATGTTAAGCAGAAAGCTAGTGAAGCAAATTATTACCTTTAAGATGACATGTTCACGGCCCAATTTGGTTTCAATTCCCTTTATTTCTGTATGGCTTATACATAAATCTTTTTTTTTTGAACTGGATATAAAATCCAAGTATAAATGTTCTTCTGTCTTTTAGCAAAGTGAAGTTGCTAAAGACAGAGGCTCGCAATTGCCTTTCATAGTGCACTAATAAAGGGCCACGTCTGGAGTCAGTGGCCTTCATCAGCAGGTGCCCTCCTGTGGCGAGCGGATCTCATCTTGTGGGGAGAGGATGAACTGTCTTCTTCAGCTTCAGACCCCGAAGGCTCATGATCTCCCTCCTGGGATCCTGTGTCTCCCACCAGTTCCCGCAGAAACTTGAATTTAGATAAAAATAGATGCCATACAAAATACCAACCTAAAGAAAGACAAAAAAATTATCACATACAATGTTATCAATTCAGAATCCTATAGTTAACAGAGAGGATGCGACAAAACTATATACAGCAAAACCTTGGATTGCAGGTAACTTATTCTGTGAGTGTTCTGCAGGACACGCAAACATTTCTAATAAATTTTAACTTGATAAACGAGCAATGTCTTGCAATATGAGTAGTATATGATGCTCAATGTCATATGATCACAATGGTTTTCTCTCTGGCTACAGGATTGTGGGTGATCTCTGCCAACATTATGGAGATCTCATCCTGCAAAGGAAGAGAGAAAAAAGGAGGAATCCTTCACTTCAAATGAGATTAGGGAGATGCATAAAATGTGGGAAATGGTGCAAAATTGTGTAGAAAAGCACAACTTTAAGAACACTGTAGCAATGCAAGCAATGAACCTGTTGAATGACAATGCAGAATCACAATTCTGCAAAATCCTCAAAAGGAGGCAAAAGCAATGTCATTGACTAGGTTCCTTGTTAAAGTTACATGAAAAGAAAAAGATTCCACTGAGCCAGTAGGTAGCAGTGATTCCATTAGTGATAGTCAAAGCCACGCTACACAGTAACCGTCCTCCTGTCTCGCCTCCGTCACACTGGCCACGAAGGTTTTGAAACGTAAGTGCAGGGTAATTTATTTTTCTTTATGTACTTTGCATTTGATTTAGTATTTTGTATATTACAGTATTGTGATCATTTTTATAGACTTTTGGGTTGCGGAACAAATCACCTCAGTTTCCATTACTTCTTGTGGGGAAATGTGCTTTGATATACAAGTGCTTTGGATTACAAGCATGTTTCTGGAACAAACTATGCTCTCAAACCAAGGTTTTGCTGTATAACACAAATAAGCATGTGATAATACATATGTAACACATTTATTAAATATTTAAGATGTACAAGATATATGGATAAACTCATTCAGTGATGGCAAAAACTGCTTCTGCTTTCATGGAATTTGAATCCAAGTTTGCTGCATCCAAACTAATATTATAATGAGATTATGACACCTAAGTAAAAATGCTTTTTATATTAAAATCAATTTCTGAGAGCACGTACCTAAGGAAAAAATACAGCTGGCTACTGACTTAGACATTCATATCTCAATGTTACTAACTAAATGCAAGTTTTGTATAAATCAAAATAGAAAAATACTAAGTAGTGGCAAAACAGCAGTATGGTGAAAACTTCAGGCAGGAGCAAGGTATTAATACATTTCTACAAATAATTTTCTTGGAACTAAATTTTCTTTAATTACATGATAAAAGAATAAAGCCAGAAACAATATCCTAGGTTCAAGATTTTAAAAATACAGATCAGTCAATAAAGGATCAAAAAGGATTAAAACAGATAAAACCTCTACACATGGGCTCAGTAGCTCTGAACCATTAAGAACAGAGAATAAAATTAACCACTGTAACAAAGATTTGAATGTTAATGTATGTTTTGTGTGTATGGTTTTGTTTGTTTGCAGCAGTAGAGAATGAACAGGGCCTTCACACTGAGCTATCCCCAGCCCTTTTTTTGTTTTTTATTTTGAAGCAGGGTCTCACTAAGTCACTAAGTTGCCCGGGGTTGGGCTCAAGCTTGCGATCCTCCTGCCTCAGGGACCAAGGGCTAGGATTACAAGACTGCACCACTAGGTCCAGCTGTTATGTATTTTCTTGATAGCTTCTACTCTAAACTCCCCAGTTTCAACGAGTAGTAGCAATGGACTACACCATATTCCAATGTCTACCTTTTTGTGAAAACAAAATCCAACTTTTTTTTCTACTGCTGTGTGAAAGTAGGCCAAGGTAATGTCCACTTTAGGGTAAGTTTTTAATGTTAGTATTTCTTTTTCTCAATCTCTGAAACAAACAAAATGTTTAACTGTAGATTCCCTGACACTAAAAGACTAACCTCAAAGATCAAATCCATTTCTCAAGCTTTTGCTCTCAAGTGTGAACGTTAAATGTTTCTGAACCACATCATAACTATTTTGGTTAACTATGTGTTTGAACAAAGCATCTACCTATGTAAAACGTTTTAATGATATTACAAAATAATATTCTCTTTCATTACCCAAACTCTGTACAACAGGCAGAATGAATTTGCAGAAAGAACACTAAGCAGGCATCAGGGGTCCTACTTCTGACAAAAGACTCACAAAGCTGCTGTGAGAAATAAATGAGAAGTATCCTAAGATGCTTAGGTGCCTGGCAGTGAGTAAGCATTCCCTGTAATGCATAAGTGACCACAGCTCTCCTTGGGCAGTGGGATCTGAGAGGATAGTCCCAATTAAGAGCCAAGATAAGGATGCTGATAGAAGATGAAGTCTCTGGCTGAGAGACTATGGTGAAGGGCCATCACCTCGGAGGTTCCAACCACAAAATATTCTACTGCCCTTGGGACGGTTAAGAGAAAGCAGTCTCCTAGCACAGAAACCTACAAAACAAAGAACTGACAACAGCTGCAGTTGTTAGAGGCTTAGAATATAGGTGCATTCCTCAAGATCACACTCTTCTCCAATTTTAATGAAATGAGCCTCTGTCAATTTTTTATTTTTGAGGCAGGCCCTCGCTATGCAGTCCAGGCTGGCCTTGAACTTGTGATGTTCCTGCCTCAGCCTTCCAAGTTCTGGGATTATCTATCTTCAAAAAATTTTAAATCACTAGCAATCACCACCAAGTCAAAAAGGTAGCACCCATGAAAAAACTCCCTGGTTTGGAGCAGCAAATTACAGATTATGTCCATGAGTACTGATATGTCAACTTTAACTAAATTAAGAAACATCGAGCAGATCAAAAAAGCATGCCCTTAGATGTGTCTAGGTGGGCATGGTGGTGTGACCTTGGGTACTATATGTGGTTCCTTGCCCGTTCTCTGGCACTGCTCCCCTGCTGCTTCCTGGCCACCATCAAGTAAGAGCTTTTCTCACCATGAAGTTCCTTCTGCCATGAAGTTTCTGCCTTGCAGCCTGCCAGCCATGTAGTGAATCTCATGAAACTATTAATTAAATTAAACCTCCCCCTCCTTTAAGTTGTGAGTGTTGGCTAGTATGTCTCAGCAAGAAGAATGCTAACTAATATAGACAGTAGGAGTGGCATCATTGCTGTGGCTGTACCTGCCCATGTGGTTTGGAAGGCTTTGGAACTGGCTTCCTGGAAGTGTTTGGAAAAGTGTGGAGATGCTGGCTAGAGAAGCTTTAGAATGCAGTAAGCACAGCCTGATGGGTGATTCTAGTCAGTACTCAAAAGGTCTAAGTTGAGAACAAGGACTCCATTGGCAGGTGGAATAGAGGCCATCTGTTTACACTGTGCCCAAGACTTGAAATTGTGCAGGAAACTAAGATTAAGGGTGGTGGACTAATAAATCTGACAGGAAATTTCAAAACGGCCCAACATTCATACTGTGGCATGGGTACTGCTGACTGCTTTAGCCAGATTTATAGTAAGAATCAGGTGCAAAAGGCAGATTTAAAAAATGTAAAACTTCATCCATTGCAGGCTCCAAGTTTTAAAAATGTCAACTTTTCACTTGAGAAGAGTTTTTGCAACCTTTGCTTGAGAAAGGCTTCCAGGGATTCATTTCATTGTGCTCAGCCTGGCACTCAGAAGCCACTGCAACCACAATCTAAGGAGACCTAGTTACTGTTTCTGCTGATAGCACAGCCTGGCATCATCCACATGATGCTGGTTTTATAGGAATGCAAAATACAAGAGTTGTAGGGTGATGGAGGTTTCTATGCAGATTTCAAAGAAAGGACTGAAGGCTAGGCAAGGAATCCCTGAGCACAGGAAGCTCTGGGAATGAAGTCAAAGGTGCAATAGAAAGCCAGGAAACTGGAAATGCCAATAAGTTGGAAAAGCTGTAAGGCCCGAGTTTTGACCTTGTTTTAGTCTAGTTCTTTTCTATCCCTTTAGACCCTCCCTTCTGCCATGGGAATGTTTACCCTGTGCCACTGTAACCTGGGATTATGTAACTTAGTTTTTCTCTTTACAGAGCTTCAGAGCTAAGAGTTTGCCTTAAGTCTAGAAGAGACTTGGACTCAGACCTCTGGAAAATGCTACAACTGTTGAGACTTTGTGGAAGTGATTATTGCACATCTGTTTGTGCACAAGATAGCTGTATTATGTTAGGTGGAATTATGAACTTGATATTGGAGATTAAATATGATTTAAGAAAATGTGTTTGAGTTTAAAGTTGACAAGGAGTAGACTGTGACTTAATCCTGCTATGTCAACTTCACTGGATTAAGAAATACCTAACAGGGCTGGGGATTTAGCCCAGTGGCGAAACCACCTGCCTGGCAAGTACAAGGTCCTGAGTTCAGTTCCCAGTACCACCCCCCCCAAAAAAGGAAAGAAATACCTAACAGATTAGTAAAGCATGCTCCTGGGTGGGTCTAGGTGGGTCATAGAACTGTAACCTTGGATATTATACAGTCTGCCCAGGGTCAGGCCAGGTTGAATTAAGGGGCACAACCAAGCTGTTATGGTTGATACATTGTGTCAACTTGGGGAGTCTAGAGGTTTGCCTAAGTGACTCAGCAGGAAGCCAGGGTGCTTACTTTCTATACATCCTGAGCCTGTGGAAGAGGAGGGCATGGAGATTACCTGAGAGCTACACACCCCTTAGGTGGGGTTTGTAGGAGGCAGCTTGCCGCCATTCCCTCCTTTTGCTCTTTTTTTGCCCTGTTCTGCTGCTGTTCCCTGCTTCGCTCTAGTTGCTTTGCTATCTTCTGCCTCGAAGTCAGCCAAGTATGGACTGAAATCTCCACAAACTGTAAGCTAAATAAAACTTTCCTTCCTTCATTTTGAGCATTGGGTATTTTGTCTCAGCAACCACAGAAAAGTAACCAAGACACAAGCCAACCTCTGAAGGGAGGTTCTGACCCTAGATTAATAAGTACTCCTCTCCTCATGTAGACTCATACACTCTGATCTACTCAGAGGACCTCTTATTGACTGGGTTCTAATTCTCTTCAAAAT